GTGTGTGTGTGTGTGTGTGTGTGTGTGTGTGTGTGTGTGGGAACGTGTCTTCATAAATAAACACTCACTCAGAGGGTGACTACACACCCAGAAACAGCTGGCTGTTAAAGGACACAACGTTGATCACATTATAAGTTTGAACAAAACGACTCTGGATGTTTTATCAGCTTCAGATGTGAAAAGATTTAAAATAAATGTATTCTAAACCAGAGGAAAAAAAGAGGYAAAAAATCAGGTAAATTGTGTTTATTGTCTGTGAAAATGTGTGATGCTGAACGGCTGCTGAAGAAGCTGAAACAGGTTAAAGTTAAATGAACACTAGCTTAAAGCTAAAAGCTAAAAGCTAAAGGTATCAAAAGGCTATGTGAAGGCTACGTTTAACATTCTGTTAGATGAGACTAGAAGAAAGGTTCAATCAGCAAAACAGCTAAAATTAGACTGAAAAGAACTAAAAAAAACAAAAAGTGAAGCAGTAACTCATGAGGTGTTTCTGTCCTGTAAAAAATAAAGTGTTGAATTTACTCAGTCAAGTTGGCTGGTTCCACTAAACCATGTAGAGGAAATGTGAAGTATTTTCTTCTAAATATTTATTGCTCAATTTACTAAACTTGGTTTAATGGAACCAGTTTAGTTCAATAAATTTAAGTTTATTTCTTGGAGAGTGTGTAAAAGTACTTTTACTTTCCTGATTTTTATGAACAGTTTTATGACTTTTACACAAATACTTTTCTCATCAGTGAAAATTGTTTTTCCCAAAGTCATTTTGTGTTAGCCCTTAGGGCAAAAACGGTGCCATTTCTGCCTTTAAACAATGGTTCCAGACACTACCGGGGGCTTTTATTTTGAAAACCAGGGAGCCACATGACTTCCTCTAGTTCTTCACTTTAACTTGACACCCTTAGAAAAAAAATGTSAAAAGACTTTTACGGTATTTCAGTGGCGACTGTTAAGYTAATTTTACTTTTACGTAGTGTWTTTTTKAGTAAACTTTATTGAGCTTTGGTGAAATATTATGGATGGTTTCTCAGCAGTTTTGACCCACTCTGCTTTACATCGTTGCTTCAATTCATTCAGCTTCTGTTCAGTTCTGAAAGTCCAGCTCACACAGTTCAGTTTTTTATAAAACACCAAGTCACACTCAGGTCTCTGCACACAAAACTATAAACCTGAAGAAGCAGCAGGTTGTGTTGAATCTTCACCAGCCTCCATCCTGAGCAGAACATGGTGACTGTGGAGAGGAAAAACTGCCTTCAACAGGAAGAAACAGCCAGCAGAACCAGAACCAGAACCAGA